AAAGTATTTTACAGTACTATAAAAAATAAATTGAATTTATTGGTGACAGTAATACTTGCTTTATAAACTAAAAAATCAAATCAAACTCAGTTGATAGCCATCATGGAAGTTGAGCTATGCTCAGATTCTAAGATAATGCCGGGAACTTTCCCTTGGCATAATTTTGTTTTTAAATCACATAAATGTCTGCTCTATACTGTTGCATATTGAACTGATGAAATGTTTTATTCTTTTTGACAGCTTCAGAAATTTTGCGAAGATGATCAAGACTGAAATGGCTGATAGTATCAACTATAATACACCTAGTGGTTTTAGAGATGTATTCAATTGTCAAGCCCCCGTGACTACACAGAATGGCGAATGTTTATATCTGTGCGTCTACTGCGGTAAAAGTTTTGACTGTGGAGACACGCTGAAACAGCACATGGTAGCGCACAGTGGGAGAGGTCCTCACACTTGTGAGCAGTGCGGCAAAAGTTTCTCAACACGAGATGATTGGTCGCAGCATATGCGAATCCATACGGGTGAAGCGAATCACGAATGCGAGCTGTGTGGTCGGACGTTCACGCTACGAACAAACTTAACTAAACATATGAAGCTTCACACTGGCAAGAAAACCTTCCACTGTGAACACTGTACAAAGAGCTTTACTGAGAAGTATAATCTTGACATGCATCGTAGAACACACACTGGTGAAAGACCACATCAATGTGAAACTTGTGGGAAAACTTTTACCCAGAAGAGTAGTCTTAATGTTCATCTGAAGACGCATACCAGCCCAGGTGAACGACCTTTTTGTTGCGAGCAGTGCGGTTTGACATTCGCTTCAGCAATCGGGTTAACGAGCCACAGGCGAGTACACACCGAAGCACAACAGGTCCTTAATGATGAATTGAATAATGATTTGCGATTGAAGAATCACACAGATATACAAGCTGCTGAAGGGTTAGATGATGCTGTACACAACGTTTCCACCCATGGCCTGAGAAACGGAGAAATTGGTCATACCGATGTGCCGATTGGTCAACCTTTGTATAAGTGTGATCTGTGTAATGAGTTCTTTTTTGAGAAGATATTGCTGGATCAACATGTTATAACGCACAGCGTTGTGAATGACGATATGAATGCAATGAAGAGTTCTTCGGAAGCGACAATTCCAAGCACGCATGAAGGTGTAAATGACTACTTTACATGCAAACAGTGTGGATCAAATTTCACGCTGATGAACGATTTAATTGAACACATGAACATGCATGCCGTGGAGAAAACACACCTGTGTGAACACTGCAACGAACGCTTTACTCGGATTGCAAGACTTGGAAGAACATTTAAGAACACATGTTATGGAGATGGTACATACTTGCGAGGTCTGTGGGAAACAGTATACAGACGTGAATGACTTAAATGAGCATATCAAAACACATGCACGAGATGTGTTGTACACGTGTAGACAATGTGGAATAAGTACGTCATCTGTTAACGATCTTGAAGCGCATATGATGACGCATAACACTCAAACGCAGTTCGTCTGTGAAGATTGCGGTAAATATTTCGATCGACAATCGGAGCTTGAAAAACATCAGATGATTCATAGTGAGGAACTGCTGTACATGTGCAAAGTGTGCAGACGGGTGTGCACAGACAGTGACTTGAACGATCATATGCGCACACATGTGGAGGAGATTTTGTACACGTGCAGTGTGTGCGGTAACAGTTTTAAGCGGTCTGGGGAGTTGCGCGAACATATGGACGATCATACTAAGGATGCAACCCACACATGTGAAGTCTGTGGAAAGGTGTTTAAGAAAGCGACAGATTTGGATACGCATCGTAAAACTCATGTGTATCCGTGCGAGACTTGTGGAATTACTTACAGTCAAATCAGTGAACTTTCTGAACACATGAAAACGCACCTCGCTGCGACTCCCTTCAAGTGCGACCTATGTGATAAGCAGTTCACGTTGAGGGCGCACTTGAAAAGACACATGATGATGCACTCGGGTGCGAAACCATTCCAGTGTAACCAGTGCCACAAAAGATTTGCACAGAAATACAACTTGGAGCTGCACCTTCGAACTCATACTGGTGAGAAACCATATCAGTGCGGGCACTGTAAGAAGAAGTTTACTCAGCAGAGCAGTTTGAATGTCCATTACCGAATACATACAGGTGAACGCCCATATCAATGTAGCAAATGTGACGACCGTTTCACGTATAAAAGTATTTTGAAGCAGCATATGAAAAGACATGACGTGGAACCAACTTCCTCTTGCAAGGATTGTGGGAAAAATTTCATGAGTGTTGAGGAGTTTACGAGTCATGTATGTTACAGCATGGATGAGACGGTAGATTGTAAAGTATGTGGGAAACATTTTACGAAGCGGAGTAATTTTACTCGTCATATGGCCTTGCACTCTGGACAGCGGCCGTATCAGTGCGAATTCTGCGATAAGAATTTTTTGCAGCGATACAACTTGGAAATGCATCGTCGAACACACACTGGTGAGAAACCTCACCAGTGCCCTTACTGCGGGCGGCGGTTCAGTCAGACGAGTAGTTTGAACGTGCATGTGAGAATTCACACAGGTCAACACGAGTACAAGTGTAAGGAATGTGGTAAGGGGTTTACGAAAAGGATCGCATTTCGGGATCATATGCGAACACATACCGGAGAACTGCCGTACCAATGTGAGCACTGTGACAAGACGTTCACGTACCAGAACAGTTTGAAACATCACATGAAGATTCACCTCAAGGAGAAACCACATCGTTGCGAACTATGCGGGAAGGGCTTTACAGAGAAATTTACCTTAGCTATGCACTTGAGAACACATACTGGAGAGAAACCACACCACTGCCATATATGCAATAAGCAATTTACGCAACGAAGCAGTTTGAATTTCCATATGCGAATACACAATGGGAATATGCCATTCCGGTGCGAGGAGTGTGGAAAGACTTTTGCACGGAAGTCCACTTTGATGGATCACACACGTATCCATTCAGGAGAAAAAAATCACCAATGCAGCCATTGTGGGAAGAGTTTCTTTCATAAAAGCAGCCTAATAAAACATCTAAAGGACCACGATGATCCGTTGCTTGTTGAAACAGAACAATTGAACAACTTTCAAAATATGAACAAAACCATTGAAATGTTAGGTAACTTACAGCAAGCAAGTGTAGTGGAGTTAGGCAAAGTACAAGATGGTGGGATTGCAGAGTTAGGCAAGTTTGAGGATGGCGAGTCAAGTAGTAGTGTACAAGAAAGGGAGGAGAAATTAATTGGTCAAAATAATGTGAATAATTTTGTTGCCGTTAGTTCATGTCCTGATATTGATTTAGGAAATGTCAGAGTGAAAATGGAAAATTTTGACAACTAATAATTTAACTATAGGTCAAATAACACCTATAAAAACATGCAAAAAGTTGCATTTTTAAAAAATTTAATAAGGGTTGGAAATTTTTTACTGGTGATTCTAATAATATAAAGAAGGTTAAAGGTCACACATCCTGGTACCTTTCAAAAGTCAGGATTATTTTTTAATTTGTTTCCATAAAATTGTAAATACTTTTCAACTCGTATTGTAAATATCTAGAAGCTCAAAAGCATTTGTATTTTAATACTGCCCTCTCTGGCAAGTTTTCTTGTGGACCATGCAACAGTGAAAAATAAAACGCTTGTCATTTCAAGAATTTGAAAGTAGCATCATGAAATATTTTGGTTTGTACAAATGAATGTAGGTGATTGCACTAGACTGCATTTGCTCTATTGTAAAATACCTTATTTTCGCTTGGAATCAATTTTCAGTGAAAATAAAATCCAGTGAATATACCCTTTTTCCTATATTTAACATTCAATTCATCAAAAATCAGTGAAATTAAATTCCATACAAATCACCCAAAATATCTTTCCTGTGAAAATTAATTCCAGCTAAAATAAAGTATTTTACAGTATTAGAAGCAAGTCTAAAATACAAGCACAAAAATCACTACTGAATCATTAAAATATTACTTATGTTGACCATAGAAACACTTCTGCAATTTACAGATGTACAACTAATGGAGTAAATACAGTGTATTTGTTTAGAGTGCATTCACTTACGGTTACTAGAAACCATAATTCACTGGACTGTCAACAGTACCTCTAGCCTAATTTTTGTTTTTCAACTACTGTGGAAAACTTTATTTTTGCTGGAATTAATTTTCACTGAAAAGGCTTTTTGGGCATTTTGTATGGAATTTATTTTCACTGATTTTTGATGAGTTTAATGTAAAATATAGGAAAAAAAGTATATTTGCTGGATTTTATTTTCACGGAATCATCCCTTCAGCGAAAATAGCGAAAATAAATTCCAAGCGAAAATAAAGTATTCTACAGTAAATTGTTTTAGGCCAGAGGGATTGTTGACATTGTTCCACAGGTTACGATCAGGACATACTGCCACAAATTTGCTCATTGAGCATGTGTTGCAGTGTCGGACCGGGGGGGCAGTCAGATTGTGCCTACTATCCAGGCAATGCACAACAGTATTATAAAGCACTATTGACTGTTAAAGTGGGGGCTGCGCATGCATCAGATGGCCATAGCATGTCATTGTTTACAAACAAGTGTCAGCCCATGAGCCTTTGCGTTTTTAGCTCCGTTGCCGACTTTGTCGAGCGGAGCTTATCATATGAGTGATTGTCCGTCGTCCGTGTCAATGTTTTACCTTTTAGACTTCTTCTTAAAAACTACAAGCCTGAATGCTTTGATACTTGGTGTATATGTACCTTGGGTAGACCTCTCTCAGATTTGTTCATTTCGTGATGATATCTTAAATTCTCTAATTTTGGTGAATATTTTTGTCATTTTTGGTAAAAAGTGATATTTTTGATCTCTTGTTAAAAACCGCAAGTCCAATTGCTTTGATGTTACATATATAGGTACTACATGTGGACCTCTCTCAGATTTGTTCATTTCGTGATGATATCTTCAATTATCTAATTTTGATGAATAATTATGCCATTTTTGGTAAAAAGTGACATTTTTGAATTCTTGTTGAAAACAGCAAGTCTGATTGCTATACATACTATACATATTGTTCATTTTCTAATGATATCTTCTGTTCTTTAATTGAAATATGCATTGCTAACAGCGGAGCTATCTCAGCCGACTGGCTGCTTGTTTAGCGTGCGTTATTGTTGCTTGGGACTCCCGTGCATGCGCAGGTGACGACCTTCCCTTAAACAGATCATCAGTTGGCCTGAAAAGGTCGCATGAGTTGCGCCCACCGTGGTGCTCCAAACCCAACACACGCCTGACAGAATGATGTAGTTTTCACTTCCCTCAACGATTTTTGTCTGTACCAATCAAATTGCAGGAACATCAGATAGTGACAGCCATCAAAGAGTAACCATTTATGGCAGAGTTTATTTGTTTCTCGACATAATGTGTGATAAGGTGCTGGCAAATTTCTGCCCAATGTTTATCATCACAGTCTGTGATTTTTGCTTTGATTGACGGTGTTGCCATGACCACCAAAATGAATATTCATTGAACTCATTGCAAGAAGGCGTGAACTTTGTGAATTCACAGTATTGATCTTACTGTCGAGTTCTGTCAGGCGTTAGCGAGGTCTGATGTTGGTCGACCGGCGAGGGCGCCACTCACGCCTACATGTTAGGCTAATCATCAGTGTGCTTTATTGAACGGCCAATCAACATCATTCATCTACTTATTGTGTAAACTAGATCTTAGCAGTAACTCCAGACAATAGTGGAGAGAGGGTAACCAGAATAATGATGTCCTATAATGATGTCCCTCCCACACTAACTGTTCAGTATTACCCATATAAAAGCAGCAAATGTATAAACCTTGAAATGACCATGACTTGAGCCCACCCAGTTCATTTTCCAAGACAATGTGTACTGAGAAAGCCTAGTTTCCAACTGATACAGTTGTCTATTGGAGTCAATGCATTACATAGCCCATATATAACGTATGGGAAAGTGAAAAAAAATCCAAGAAAATCATAACTTCCACAAAAATGGAGATAACTTCACCAAATGAAAAAACTTGAGAGGATTAGTCCATGTGTGTACATTATGAATTTCAGAGTTGAATTTCAGGCTGTTTTGAAGTCGAAAATGAGCAAAAACAAATTTTTTAAAAATGCATATATAAAATAGACACTTGCATATGGTGCCATGAAAAAAATAAGTCCATATCAACATTCATGCCAAAATGCAGTCTGACAAGCTGTTGTGGAAAAAATCACTTTTAACCATAAATGACAAAATATTCACGAAAAATAGAGGTGATGTCAGGTAGGTGCGGTATGAATAGCAAGGCAATCCAGCTGACGGTTTTGGAGAAGTTGCTTGAATGAAAAGTACGAACGACGAAGGGTGTGGTCAACCCTTGAACTCCGCTTGGCCATTTTCGATGACGCAGAGCTAAAAATTCATTTCGGAGAATACAACTGAAATTGGCATTCTAGAATAAAGGTATGGATTAAAATACAAATATGACTTGCCATATATAGTAGTACAGCTATAGCCTGATATGATCTGCAATCATTATTGTGCCCTTGCCGATGGATTCACTCGGATGCAAGTTTGGTAGTTTGCCAGCTACGTCAAGCTAGTACAGCTTTTGCACAAGTTCATGCAAATATTAACCTTGCATAACCTGATTGTCACACATACCTCCCCCTACTGTATGTGTAAAATGTACGTTTAGGCCAGACTTTTTTTATTCCTTGTTTCTCGAGTTTTTATAAGGCAATTTTTTTGAGGAGGGCGGGAAAAAAAATAAAATTAATTATTTTTTCCCCACTAGATTTGTGTGATTCTCAAAGAATTATAAGTGAGATCATTGATCGGAGAGAAGAAATGAAATAAAATTTTATTCTTTGATACTTTGATCATGATACTCCCACGAAAATGCAACTTGGATTTGTTATGCGGCGAGCGGAAAAAAAATGAAGATAAAAATAAGTATTTTTTGCACTTAAAAGTCGGTGGGCGCGAGAAATTATGCTGAAATAAAATTTTATTTTTTTTCATTTTCGGCCCCTGTTCATTTGGCGGGTTCGCAAAACAAGGGATAATAAAAGTCTGGCCTTAATATATAGGTACAGACGGATTGACACACAAAGGTGAATTCACAAATTCAGGAGACATCGTCCAATGAGCAACTAAAAACACTGTTTGACCTTACTGTCTGGGCATATCTTAACTTCAAAACTGGCTACGCATGTGTTACACTCCAGACTGTGTACACAAAAAAGATTTAAATAAACAATAAGCTTTATCGTCGTACTTCCTTGATTCGGTATAATTCTGTTGTCTGGACTTGAGAACAGTTGCGACCATAGGGGGCGCTGTAATCCTAATGATAATAATTATAAAAATATAGTATGCAAAGACACATCAAATACATTGACCAAAAGCCCCGAGAAGTCAGGACGT